CAGAACAGCGGTGACGAAGCCTGTCGAGGAATTCGTGGAACTTGGGAGGCACGAGGGGGTGGCCGTAGGCGCGCAGGTAGATGGTTCGCAGCTCCCAGTAGTCGAGCGCCCCTGACTGGTCTTCGTCCAGTGCCGTCCACACTGCCTTGACCGTGGCGTCCGGTTTCTGCAAATCGTCGTAGCCATCCATCCATCCATCCATCCACCATCAGTTATGTCGTACGTCCATACGCCCCGGTTGGTGTCTGGTGACACTGAAGCGGGCGCGCGGGTAAGTGGGTGCGTACCTGACGCATCATGAAGTACATGTAGGAGAAGGCAAACTGCATATCTTCGCCTGTGCGGAAGCGATGAGATGACGTCTTGTTGAACTCCTCCGGCCATCGGGCGTGTAGCGCGGTGATGATGTGCCGGTCGATCATGTGCGGCATGTGCGCGATCACCTGCGCACCGGAAGAGGCGCGGCCAAGGCAACACGCGCGTTAGGCCGAACGATCCCTACCACGCGCGCGCGCGCACACACGACACAACGCGTGCGTGTGAACTGATCAGACACATGGAGAGAAGGGCATTAAGGGGATGTTGCCTTGCGAGGTTCGGGACCGAACTCCTGGTCGAGGAGGCGGTTCACATGGCGCAGCGAGTCGCCAAAGGCATCGAGCAGACGCCTCCCGGTCCTGCTGTTGCTGGAGGTGGTGTCGGTGTCGGTGTCGGTGTCGGCGGCGGCGCGAGAAGGTGCCGACCGCTCCCAGGGAAACAAAGCCGGTGCGGGGCTGTCCCGGAAGTACTCGGCAGCCGCGGCGAGGTAGGCCTCCCGCGCCTCTTCTACCGCTTGCTCCTTGGCCCGCTCATACCAGGCCTGCAGGCCATTCACCGCGCGCACGTACACAACACGCAGAACACACAGCGCGCCCGACAGATGAGCGTCGTGGTGCGTGGTGCGTGAGTGCGTGGTGCGGGGGCTGTGCCTTTTTGGCGGGCGTGAGGGTGTTGGGCGGGGGGACTGGGATGGACGCAGCCGACATGTAGCGGGTCCAGAGTTCGGCCAGGGTCGTGGGGAGCCTTCCCTCCTCGGACTCGTCTGATGGATCCGCCTCCTCCTCCGCCGCCGCCGCTTCTTCCTCGACGTGGAGCAGCAACGTCCTCGTGCTCCTCCTCCGCGGACTGCTTCCCCTGCAGAGAGCGGAGAGAGCGGAGAGAGAAAGAGCGGAGAGAGCGGAGACCAGAGACGGCAGAGAGGGCAGAGAAGGCCGCCGGCCAGTCAACCACCAGCCACCACCAGCCACCACGTGGTGCCTCGCCAGGACCGCAATCGGGGGAAGACGGGGGGGGGGGTAGTGGGGCGCATACCGCTCCGCCTCTCGGTAGGCGGCACCGGCACCGGCACCGCTGCTGGCGGCGGCGGCGGTGGGCGTATTTCGCGGCGGCGGCGCTCGGACTTGTTTGAGGTCGCGGTGTCTGACCGCGTGTAGGTCGAGTGGCGCAGCGTCCTCGGTCGCGTCTGGATCTGCTCGAGCGGCCCCGTCGGGGTGGTCCATCCCGGCGTCCTCGTCTTCACCGGTGCCGACAGCAGCAGGAGCCAGAGAGGCGACGGGGAGAGGGCTGGCCTCGATCTCCACATCGGCGTCTGCACCCACGCACCACCACCCACGCACCACGCAGCACCACCACCCACGCACCAAAGTCCCGATGAGAGGGGGCAGTTTCAGTCGCCGGCACATCACCGCCATAACTGACCCTCAGCCCCCTCCCATCACGTGTGGTTGGCGCGCATGCGGGGGGGAGGTTGTACCGGCAGGGGGCGGGGACGAGGCGGACGAAGAGGTCTCAGAGACGGAAGTGGACCCATTGGAGGCGCCCACGGTGATGTTGAAGGCCACCGTCAGCTTGAGGGGCGAATTACGGTCGGTGGTGCCCGCCGGGAGAGCCTCCACGCTGCGTAAGGCATAGATGTGTAGAGAGATCGAGAGAGATCGAGAGAGAGGAGGGGAGGGAGTGAGGAAGAGTGAGGAAGAGTGAGAAGGAGGAGGAGGAGGCGGGTCACGCACCTGATGCCGACAGGCTGTCGTCCCTTGTTCTTCCTGAGCACGAGGGTCATGGTCTTGTGCTTCTGGGAGATGGTTGCCGTGCGCACGATGTCCGAGTTGTCGTGCGAGCCATCCACGATCTGCAGCGTGTCCAGGACAGGCGCGAGGTCGATGTACATCGCGTCCACGTCCGGTGGCACCTAATCACAAACAAACAAACAACAAACAAACAAACCACCACCACCACCACCAACACGCGCACGTGCCCCACCGCACATGAAACCGGAGAAGGTAAGCACCACCGTCGGTGGCATGTAGGGGGAGGGGGCGCCAGCTGGTGGTGGCGGTGGCTGACCTGGACCAGGGGCAAGCCGGTGGTGGTGTTCACGGCGAAACCCCAGAGCTTCTCCTTGACCTCCTCCATCCCGCAGTCTCCGGCGTCCATCGCACACGCGGGCACCTGTCCATACGCCCACTCGCGTCTCTCAGCAGCTGACGACGACCCCACACACACCCACGCACACAACCACCAGCCACCCCCGCCCGAGCTTGCCCGGACACCCATCGATGGGGGGGGGACGGGGAAAAGGCGGATTGGGGGGGAGCGGGGCACCTGGCAGGGCTTGTCGCAGTACTTGTCGCCGATCCAGGAGTCGGGGCAGCCAGGCGCACAGTAGTCGAGGGCGGCGCCCCACGAACTGCCGGCGCCCCAGCTGCCGCCGCTGCTGCCCGCATTCCATCCGCTGCCCATCGTGGCGCTCGTGGCGTTGGCGCAGTCCCCGCCGTCAAAGTTGCAGCTGCTCGTGTTGCACGCCCTGATTGCCGCCAAAACGCGCTCACGTAAGGCAACGCCCCACAGCCAGCCAGCCAGCCACGATGCTGGCATTGCGCATTTCGTGGTAAATGGGGGAGGGGGGAGAACCGGTCGCAGTAGCCATCACCGATCCACGAGGACGGGCAGCCGTCAGCACAGTCGGGTACGGGCCACGCCAGGTACACCTGCCCAGCCCGAGCTCGAGGTAAGCCAGGTCGGGCCAAGCCAAGCCAAGCCAAGCAACTTGCAAAGGTGCGCATTCGAGAGCAGGGCCGAAGGGGGAGAGGGAGGGGAGGGAAGTGGGGGGGGAGGGAAGAGAGGAGTGTCGACCTTTTGTCCCTTGCCGGCAGAGTAGAAGTCGTCGGGCCACACGGGCGCACCGAACATGGTGTCGTCATTGAGGTAGAGGAACTTGTCCGACAGGCCCGGGATGCGGTGCAGGTGGCACTCGATGGCCGGCGACGAAAACGTGGGCAGGTGCGACTTGTTGGCGAATATCTCCTCGTGCGTAACCACCCTGCCACCCACCCACCCACCCACCCACCCAAGAGTAAGATAAGATTTCTATCGAAAGAGATATATAAATAAACAAATAACAAGATAGCAATAGTGCAGCAGCCTATGGCGGTGGCTGGCGGCTGGTGGCTGGTGGCGGGGTTGTGTGTTGTGCTGCTAAGCGGGACCCGTGCGGAGTGCGCGCACCTGATGCGGGGGTGGGAGAGGTCGAGCCAGTAGGGGATCTGCCCGTTGGTGACGATGTAGATGTTCCGCACCCAGGGCGCGTACTTCTCCACGGAGCGCAGGGAGTACCGCAGCTCCTGAGACACCGCCCACCGGTCATCGACCATCAGCACACCCTCCCCCGCACCAAACGAGGGATGGGGAGGTGGCAGCTCGCGGGCAGGCAGGCAGGCAGGCAGGCAGGCAAGCGGGCGGGCGGGCAGGTAAGCAGGCGGGCAGAGGGAGGGGAGGGTGCATGCCTCGTTGTCGACGAAGCGGCTCATGGAGTCGGCGTCCCCGAGGCAGTTCTCCTTCTGTGTGCCGTTCCGCGTCGCGTTACCGCCCGATGGCGTGGCACTGGCGGCGGCAGAGGCAAGGCTGCTGGCCGGCGGGCTGGCACTGCTGCCGGTGGGAGTAGCGGTGGTGCCAGTATCGTTGCCTGTTGCTCAGCGCCACGAGACACCAATCAAACGGGGGCGGGCCAATTTTTGTCAGCGCCATGTCAACTTGAACATCACCCACGCGTGCATACATGCATGCATGCCTACATTTATTATATATATATACACACACACAGAGAGAGAGAGGTAGTGGTGGTGTGTGTGTGTGTGTGTGGTGCGTGCGTGCGTGCGTGCGTGCGTGCGGCGCCTACATTGAATAAAGTAACTACGCATCGCACCACTGGGCAGCACGCACCTTGTGGGTGGAGAGGGAAACAGAAAAAAAAATAGCAAAAAAAAATAGCAAAAAAAGCTGTGTGGAGAGAGTACCGCGAGAGGCGGCGATGGCGGCACGCGCTTCCTTGAGTGCTGCGGTGGAGGCACGTGAGAGGTGGGGGGAGGGGTGCTGATAGAGAGAGAGAGAGAGGGAGGGAGTGGCGCTTTACCTTGCACGAGCGCGGGTCGGAGCCGTTGACCCAGGAGTAGACCAGGTCAATGGGGGCGCCGTAGGCCGAGTAGTGGGCGGGCGAAGAGGAGCGGTCGGGGAGGGGAGCGGGGGCAGAAAGAAGAGCGGCGGCGGGCGGGGCGGCGAGGAAGTGGTGCAGGAGGGACACGCATGTGTTGAGCAGAAACAGCGCACCCACCAGGCACACCACCATGCCCCAGCGGCTCGCCAGGAAGCTCAAGAAACGGCGCTGCACCAACTTGCGGAGATTCATGGCACACTGGCGGACGAGTGATTGATTGGGGGGGGCAGACTAGCGAGCAACCGCCGAGGGCGCAAGAAGATGCGAACGCACGCTGGCCTGCCTGCTTGCTTGCCGCGGCGCCGGACTGCCGCCTGTCGGGGTGGAGAGGAAAAAGAAGGCGAACAGGGCCTTTTCCTCCCCCATTTCCTGCGTTACTCTCCATTTTCTTTTTTTTGTTTTTTATTCGGAAGTGATTGATCGGTGGTGGCGTGTGTGCGTCTCTCTCTCTCTCTCCTTCTTCTTCTTCTCTTCACTTGGCTCGGGTCTGGACCTGCCTCTGGAGCTGGCATAGGAACTCGTAGTAGGAGGGCAGCGTCTTGGAGTTGTCCTCCACAAAGTGCGCAAAGAAGCGGTACTGCAGAGCACGGAGAGGCAGACACCACGGGACCCGGGAGATTGGGGAGGAGAGAGACCTGAGCCAACCGCGTCGCAGGAGGAGGAGGAGCGAGGAGTGAGGAGTGGGTGTGTACCTCGAGAGGGTCGCCTTCCCGGACGACGTAGAGCTTTTGGTGGCAGGGGTGCGAGGCGCGCAGGGCGTTGACGATGGCCACCACCCGCTGCGAGAAGTCGTTGCCTACAATTTTTTTTTATCGCCGCCAGCGGCATGCCCACCACCACCACGCGTGAGCTGCTGCTGCTGCTTGGGGACGGAGGAGGAGGGGCGAATGCCGCTCGTACCCTGGTCCACGAGCTTGAGGAGGGCGTCGTCCACGCCAAAGAGGCTGGGCACACCGAACAGGGCGTGCACGGCTTCGGGTGCGGCGAGCTTGCCCACCCACAGGAGGAGGTATTGCCCGTCATCCAACAAGAAGATGCCGCTCTGGTCCAACTTCTCGCTCGACAGGTTGTTCACCGGCGGCAGAACGACCTGTGAGCACGGCGCACGCGACACACAACACAGCCGCCGCGGTGAGCGGTGGGGCACGGGAAACACCAAGACACGGTGGTGATGGGTTGGTGGGTTGGTTGATTGATTGATGGGTTGCTGGCAGAGGTGGTGGGTAGGTACCTTGCCGCCCTCATCGACGGTTCCGCACTCGGCGGGCATGACGTTGAGCTGGTAGAGGCGAGGGTAGAGGAGGCAGATGGAGTCGGACACGCCCAGGGTTCGAAGGAGGGCCAAGTGGTAGCTCCTCTCGTCGGGCTTGATGTCGGCACCTGCGCATTGCAGGTGGCCGCAGCCACAACGCGTCGTGAGCGATGCGCGCCACGCGACCAAGGCCAAGGGAGGACCGCCTTGTGGGGGTGAGGGGGGGGGGTGCCACCTACCGGAGCGGAGAGCAATATGCTTGATGAGGGCGAGGGTGTAGAGGGGAAGAAGCTTCAGCGACTCGGGCAGCACCAGCTGCGTACTGCTTGTGCCCGCCGACGCAAAGGACGCTCTGCGCATGGGAAGCAGAGATGGAGATTATAATATGGACCGTTGCGAGCCAATGCCCTGCCAAGGATTTGGGGATGGAGTGGGGGGGGGCCAGGGGAGAGAGAGGTGTCTACCTGTACACGGAAAGGATGTCGATGCACTTGTGAAGAACGGCCTGGCGTGCGTCCGACAGCTTGGTCATCAAAACCTTTTCGACCGCTGTGTACCAACGCATGCCGGACCATGACACGACGAGAGGCCGTGTGAGTGAGTGTAGGGACTCGCCACAACACACACACACACACACGACACACACAGGGGGGCATCGCGTGTACCCATCTTGGATGTCAGGGCGACGACAGCGTCCACATCGGCGAACTTGAAGAGGTCTGAGAGTGACGACGTCACGGGGAGACAGACCGTGGCAACTCTGATCCTCCGCTCGCCCTGGGAAGTGGTGTAGAGGAGCGCGTTCTGAATGGACACGTACTTACGATCGTTCAACGGATCCTTGACCTGGTGTGCGGGTTTGGGGGGGGGTCAGCGTCAGCATTTGAGCGACACCACACGTCATAAATCTTTCTGTGAATAGGAAACCACGTGTGGTGGGCCGGGCTGGCTCGAGGGGCGCTTACCGAGTCGACCTGCAACTGCACGGCAAAGGCTTTGTCGGAATCGACCGTGGGCAGGGCCATGAGGTCCGTGCTCCTGATGTAGAGGTTGCCGTAGTGCGCACTCACCTACGAACACCACCACCACCACCAACAACAACAACCGACAACGCCAGTAGTACGCGATGAGCGACGGTCACGAGAAGGAAGCAATGACACAGGGCTGGATGAGCAGGTGTGTGTGTGTGTGTGTGTGGAAATGTCAGGATCGTACCTTGACGCCATGGGTGGCGCGTACGCGCATGACGGCCTCCCAGCCAGTTTCTCTGGTAAGGACGTGGGTGAGATCGCCCGCAAACTTCTCCGCGTCCTTCTCCGCGTTGTAGGCCGGGTAGTAGATCGTCTGCCCGCTGGTGAACTGCGGCAGCACGCCTGCAGGTGGTGGAGGTGAAGCCAGTCGATGTGTCAGTCTGCTGCTGCTGCGTGCGTGCTGTGTGCTGCTGCTTGGTTGCCCCATTCACGTCCCCGCGGACAAACCAACGCTGGCGGCATGCGAGGGAGGGGAGGGAGGCTGTACTCAGTGTGGCCACGTCGGTATAGTGGGGAGAGAAGAGGAAGAGGTCGACTGCGATCTGCTGTCGCGAGCAATCGAGGGCGAAATCCTTGTAGAACTGGTTGTCCGGCTTCAGAAGGGCCACCTCCTTGTCCGTACCTGCGCCCGGCCGATACGGCGCAAGGCAAGGCAAGGCACCCATCTTCGATTAGCACACACACACACACACACACACACCAGCCAACGCAGCGGCGGCGGCGGCAACGATGGGGTCTGCGCAAGGAGGGAAAACACACCGAGCAGCTTCGGGTCCTCTCTCATCTTCAGCGAGGCAAAGCCCACTGAGGGGAGTCGGCTCAAGAACAACAGCATCTTACCGCCCACGATGCGCTACGCCGCGAACGGGGAAGGGATGGGGGGGATGGAGAAAGTGGGGAGGGGAGGGTAAGCTGCGGTCTGTCTTGAAGCGGCGCCCGAATGAATTTTGGCTGGGTCCCACGTCGGGAAGAAGATGGCGGGCATACCATGACATTCCAGGCCGCCTTGAGGGCAGGGCCGAGAGCACTCTCCACGTTCTGCGTTCCGGCGTGCATGGCTGGCAAGCGGTCTATTCGGGGAAGAGAAGGAGAGATTAGGGGAGAGGAGGGGGAGAGGTTCGTCACATTAGAGACTGCAGCAGCTGAGAGAGAGAGAGAGAGAGAGAGCAGCCTACCCAAGAGAGTGTCGACGACAGAGCGCGAGTCCTTGAGGTTGACGAGCATGTCGTCGGGGAGAGGCAGGAACACGTCCTCCACGTCCGACACCACCAACATCCGCGGCTGCGACAGAGAGGACTACAAAAGGAGGGAGGGGGGAGGGCAAGACAAAGACATGGCCACACCCAGAGAGAGAAGTGGGAAAGAGAGGGGGGGGGTGGAGGGCGGTTAGCAATCCAATGGGATAGAGCGGGACAGCTGCAGCGAGAAGGAGGCGCGTCGGGTCGGCACCTTGAGGTTGTAGAAGTGGATGGAGCTGTCGAAGGTGATGAAGCCGACATTAGTGCGCTCGGTGTCGGGCAGGTTATCGAGCGTCTTCTTCACAGTCTCGGCGAGTGTTTGGAGCATGCCGGACGAGACCGAATAGTAGGAGACATCGATCACGAAAAAGTAGGTGGGCGGCATCGGCCGTCTGCAGCCGAGAAGAGAGAGTTGCGCAAAAAAAAAAAAAAAACTCAGGTGTGAGCGAAAGACGCAGAGAGTGGGGGGGGGCAGGGAGAGTTCAGCTCACCTGACCATGTACTCCGAAGGAGCGACAAACTCTACGCAGCCCTTGGAGAGCTCCGCTCGTTCGGCCCAGTCCTTGCGGCGGCCATTGCGATCGAGCTCGCTGAAGTAGTCGTTGGGTGTTTCGTTGACCAGATCGCACAGGTTGCACCTCCAGCGCCGGCCGCCTTCCAAGAAGTTCACGAAGGGGTTGATGTAGGCGCGGCACTTCCTGCACCGGATGATGCCCGTACGCCCAAAATTGACCACCGGTATTTTGTGCTGCGTGTGTGTCGTGTGTGCGGTTTGAGCAAACAGGCATGCAACGCCCAAGAGGCGACACATTGACACGTGATTAGACGCTGCCGAGATCTGTCTCTGTAGAAAGAAAGCGAGGCGACCCACGTCTCTCTCTCTCTCTCTCGAATGGAGAGGCGGCCGCGTACCTCGTCCGACGGAGCCATGGGCTGCAGGATACAGCCCAGCGGGATCGCCGCCTTTTGGCCAAGCGCGGGTGTGGAGGGGACGGCGTTCACGGTCATGCGCATCCAGCAAGAGGGGCAAGCGGACTCGGGGTCGGGCTTCTGGGAAGGATCCTCCTGTTGTCGTGGAGCCACACCCAACCGCCAACCACCACCAACCGCCGCCGCCGCCTCAATTAGTATCAGCATGTACGCGCGAATTGAGAAAAACCGGGGCTCCTCCCAGTAGAGCCTGGGTGTGCGCCTGGCGCGCCCAAATGGATCCAGCACTCGTGCCGCGGTGGTGCGTGGTGGTGCGTGGTGGTGCGTGGCTGGTGGTGCGTGACGTACTGGAGGAGTGACCGGGTGGGCGACTTGCTGTCCCGTTGGCCCAACGGGCAGCCCGCGCGCAGGCTGCGGAGGTCCACCGCCATACAGGCCGGCTCCCGGCGCACCACCTGTCTGCACTCCGCCGCTCACGTGCATGCTACCCGCCATCTGCACATGCCCGTGCCACGCACGCCGCGACCGGGTTAGGCCCAACAGGAAGAGAGAGGGAAGGAGGAGGAGAAGCGAAAAACCCCCCACACCACCACCAGGTCGGCCCACCCCAATGGAATCAAGCCACGCGAACCACACGCGCGATGGCGTAAGTCGCCGAGAAGGGGGGGGGAGGTGAGGGCACGGTGTTGGAGGAGGGAGAGGAATGAGCACCTGGGTCACGTCGGCAAGAGCAGAGTCGTATGAGGAGGGGCCGCCCTCGGCGTCAAAGTCGGGAACGGGGTAGTGCCTGCGCGCCACTCCAGTAGCCGCAGTGCCTGCACCCGGGTGGCCCAGCATTCATTCATCAATTCATTCATAGCGCGCGCGTTAAAATCGTTAAAACTGGAGAGATAAAAGCAAAATGGGAGGGGTGGCTCAAGAAGAGGATGAAGAAGAGGTACACACCGGCAGTAGTCGGGTGTCCGGTCGGCTGGAGGGGCGGGCCACCAGCGGGCGGGCCTGACGGGGGAGGAGCCCCGCCGCTGCCGCCGTAGAAGCCGAGAGTGGCCGTTTCGGGGTAGGCCGAGTAGAGGCTGGGCGTCTCCAGGGAAGGGTAGGCAGGCCCGGCGCCACCAACAACGCCCGTGCTGCCGGGTCCCGCGGTGGGGGGCGAAGGGCTGAACCCGCCACCGCCATGGGGCGGGGGTGCGCCTACAAGAGGGCCTCCAGCAGCGAAAGGCGATGCCACTCCGCCGCCGCCGCTGGGCTGTTGGCCTACTGGGTAGGCCGGTACGCCCCAGGGGGAAGCCACGCCCGTGGTGGCCACGGGGGCGCCAGAGAGAGGAGAGGCTGCTGTCGTGCTGGCGAGCGGGGCGGGGACCTGGTAGAGCGGAACGGGGGCTGGGGCAACAGGGCCGGCACCCAGGCCACTCTGATCCACTCCACCGCCGCCGCCACTTCCACCGTAGCCGGGTCCTCCCAGCGGGGGGAAGGAGCCACCGAGCGAGGGGGCCGGATCGTTGGTGGGCATGCCTGGATAGGCCTCTTGTGGGTAACGTCTCCTCGCCATTTGTACTGTTGTGATTGGTTCAACAACCTTAAGGTTTATCTCTTGCTGTGTAGATACCTGCGCCCACAATCTACCAGAGCTGCAGGATCTGCTCTCGCCGCTGTGGAGTGGAGACTTAGTCCACGCTTGTGCGGGGACACGCACACACACAGCCCACGTCCGCACCACTGCCACGTCAGCCTTGGAGAAAAACGAAAGGAAAATCTTCCCACAGCGCATATTTTATTTTCCTTCTTTTTCCTTCTCTCTATTTTCCCGGCCGCGCAGCACAGAAAAAAACGAGGCAGACAGCTGATTGCATCAAAGGGAGAGAGCATTGGTACACGAGACATGAAGCGCTTCACGTCGCTTGACATCAGTGCCATCACGCGAGAGCTGCGCGAGAAGGTGGTGGGTCTTCGTATTGCCAACGTCTATGATCTGGGCAAGAAGACCTACCAGCTCAAGCTTGCCAAGCCCGACCACAAGCAGTACCTTGTGTTCGAATCGGGCGTGCGGCTGCACACCACCAAGTTCCAACGGGAGCGCCAAACGGTCCCCTCCGTCTTTTGCCTCAAGGTTCTCCTCACCCCCCTCACTCCGGGGCAGGCAGCCAATCTTGTTCATGTTGAGAGAACTTCTTGGCGTTTCTTTTTTTTTCTTTTCATTCTTGGCAACAGTTGTGTTTTTCTACCTCTCTGCTCCTTCCTACCCCGAATTATTATTATTATTTGGGTTTATTTGTGGTGCTGATCTCTTTGAGTGTGGTGTGCGGCGGGTGACAGTTGCGACGATACCTGCGTACGAAGCGCATTGAAGATGTAAGGCAACTCGGCATCGATCGAGTGATAGACATCACCATCGGCTCGGGAGAGGCCCAGCACCACCTCATCATCGAGCTGTACGCTAGCGTACGACCTCCCACCTCGGTCGTGTCGATGCCGCTTCGCAGGGCTGAGACCCTGACTCACGCGTGCGCGCGCGTCGTCTTCACCACCACGCACCACGCTCCATTGCGCGTATGCGACGACCGCACAGGGCAACATCATCCTCGTGGACAAAAACTACGCCATCGAAACCCTCATCCGCTCCTACAAGACTGGCGAGGGCACCGACGATGAGGTGTCAGTCGCCGTCGGCACGCGCTACCCTGTCGACAAGGCCCGCCAGCTCGTGCCCACCACCGTAGACCGCTTGCGCGAGGTACCTTTCCTCACTGCCGCACCCACATCCGATGTTGCTGCGCCCGAGCGTGTGGGATGGATCGATCCGAGCCCGAGATCCGTGCCATCCCACATCCCATCCCATCCCACATCCCATCCGGGCTCTGTCTTGCGATGGCCCGGGAGATGTTGACTCTCTGTCTCTTCACCCCATTGGGGGGGGGTAGGTGCTGCATTCGGTGCCCGAGGAGCAGCGGGCAAAGGAGGCGGTGAAGGACGTCCTCAACCGCCACCTGGACCTGGGCCCCACACTCTTTGAGCACTGCCTCCTGTGCGCCGACCTCAAACCCCACGCCAAGGTCAGCGAATACGGTACTACGCCCCACCACCAGCCACCAGCCACCAGCCACCAGCCACCAGCCACCAGCCACCAGCCACCAGCCACCAGCCACCAGCCACCAGCCACCAGCCACCACTACTACCAGCCGCTCCCCCCCAATCCCCCCCACTGACGCCGCCCTTTCTCGCGCCGGCGTCTGTTTACGCGCGCGCAAGCAGACGAGGCCAAGACCGAAGCCCTGCATCGGGCCATCCAGCACGCCGAGTCCCTTTACAGTGACCCCACCCTCAAGGTACCACCAGCCACCACCAGGCGCCACCAGGCGCCATCCGGACGCATCCGTGGATTGTGTCTGTCCGGGGGATGGGGGGGGTTGGCGGCGGCTTGGGGGGGCAACGCCGCTCACGACGGCCGCGTCGATCTGCGGTATTGTGGGGGGGGGGTACAGGGGTACATCGTGCTCAAGGACGCCAAGCCAGATGCCGCGCCCGCTGCTTCCGCGAAAGCCCTGCAGGGCAAGGGCAAGGACAAGGAAACCCAGCCGCAGCCGCCCCCGCAGCAGCAGCAGCAGCAGCAGGAAGGGCGTGCGGAGGAAGAGGCGCAGTCTCCGGTAGTGCCCGCCACTCCCGCGCCGCAGGATGCCGCCAAGCCAGACGGCGAGGAGGATTACGACAGCCGCCTGTACGCCGCATCTTCTGCCACCTCCCTCCCCCTCAGAAGATGACCACGGCTGACCACGTCGGCGGGGCTCCCTGGCCGTGTGTGTGTGTGTCTCCTTATCTTCTGCAGGTTCATGATGTTTGTGCCCTATGTGTACAAACAATTCGAAGGCCGGCCGCGACTCGAATTTCCGAGCTTCGACGAGGCCGTCGACATCTTCTTCTCCAAGGCGCAGGAGCAGCAGGTCGAGGTGAAGAAGGAGCAGCAGGAGAAGACAGTCATCAAGAAGCTCGACAAGGCACGTGGCCTGCCACAAATTCCCTGTCCTCCTCCCCATTCCCCGCGCAAATCCGGCACAGGCCGGGAGAACTGAACGGTGGCGGCGGTGGCGGCGGCGGTGCGAGTGCAGGTGAAGAAGGACCACGAGACCAGAATAGCCGCCCTCACCAAGGCCGAGGAGGAGTGCATCAAGAAGGCGCACCTCATCGAGACCAATGTGAGCGATGTGGACGCCGCCATCAAGTACGCACACCTGGCGGGAGAGGCCGCGCGCGTTCTCCTCCCGCGTCGTCCGCCCGGGCGTGTCTGCTGACGGTGAGGTGTGCGCGGCCGGCAGGGTCACGTGTTCGGAGCTCGCGCGGGGCATGGATTGGGCGCAGCTGACCCGGGTCGTCAAGGAGGCCAAGAAGGCGGGCGACCCCATCGCCAACCTCATCCACTCCCTCGACTTTGCCAACAACAGGTGCCTGCCTGCCTGCCTGCCTGCACCCCCTCCCCCTGCCGTCTCCCCCAGAAAAATCTCCCTTCCTTCGACCGTCCGCCCGCGTCCTAGCGCGGCTGCCAAGTGGCGCGCCTGACCGATGCATTCTTGCTTCTTCTCGCTGCTGCTGCTGCTGCTGCTGCTTCTGATTAGGATCACGCTGCTTTTGGTCGACCCGCTCGAAGCCGCCGCCGACGCGAGCGGCGCCATGCAGAAAGTCGAGGTACCCTGCTATGCCCCCGCATATGACTTTCTTTTCCTCCTCTCGCTCACCTTTGGGGGGGGGACTCGGCGCAGGTGGACATCGGGCAAACGGCCTACGCCAACGCGCAGGAGTTCTACGCCGAGGCCAAGAGGCGCGCCCACAAGCACGCCAAGACGGTGGCATCGTCCCAGATGGCCGTCAAGGTACCAAAATTCAGCACCACTCGCTTTGCTTCTCCTCCGCCTCCTCCTTCCCCCCGCGCCTTCGGACGATGCTGATGGCTGGCATTTGTGGCAACACGGCTCCGGGGCGACGCAGGCGGCGGAGAAGAAGGCCCGGCGCGAGATCAAGGACGTGGGTGTCAAGGCCGCCATCCAGAAGGTGAGGAAGGCCTACTGGTTCGAGAAGTTCCACTGGTTCATTTCCTCCGAGGTACACGACACACGACACACGCACGACACACGACACACGACACACGACACACGACACACGACACACGACACACGACACACGACACACGACACACGACACACGACACACGACGCACGACACACGACACACGACACCGCACGGGGCCTTGGGACTGTGCTGACCCCTCTCTTTTCGCTTCCTCCTCGTGCGACCCTCCCTCAACAAAACAACAAAAACCAACGGCGACGGCGACGAACAGAACTACGTGGTCATCTCGGGTCGCGATGCCCAGCAGAACGAGCTGATCGTGAAGCGGTACCTCCGCAAGGGCGACGCCTACGTGCACGCGGACCTGCACGGCGCCGCCACGTGCGTGGTGAAGAACCCGCACCCCGACAAGCCCATCCCCGCGCTCACCCTGGCCGAGGCCGGCTCCATGACCGTCTGCCGCAGCTCCGCCTGGACCGCCAAGGCACGTGCAGCCCCCCCTATCACATTTTTCTGCGTCGGTGTGGGCGCCCACTGCTCCCCGGTCTCAATCTACTAAAACCACTATGGAAATGGAGGTCTAGTATTATTATTATTATTCACATGGTGGTAAGTAGCATGTCGTGGCACTCACCTCCGGCGCGCGGCTCTCGACAGATTCCGACGTCGGCGTGGTGGGTGCACCCCGAGCAGGTGTCCAAAACGGCCCCGTCTGGCGAGTACCTGGTGACGGGCTCGTTCATGATCCGCGGCAAGAAGAACTTCCTGCCGCCCTCCCAGCTCGTCATGGGCTTTGCCTACATGTTCAAGGTAACACAACCAACCAACCAACCAACCAACCAACCAACCAACCAACCAACCAACCAACCAACCAACCAACCAACCACCCCCCAGGTCGACCCCACCTCCGTGGCCAACCACGTCAACGAGCGGGCCGTGCGCACCCTCGTCGAATGTACCCGCTACCCCCCCCCGCCGCCTAAATCCCCACATCCCAGTGATCGGCCCCGAGCGCGACTACGCCGGACGATGATGGCGTTGTTGGTTGGTTGGTGGTTGCATAGGTCGTCATTGGCATGGGCCTTGCTTACCCCATCCCACGTGGCGTGCAGTGTCGGAGCTGGAGGGCGCAGGCAGGGGCGACGCTGAGAGGTCCGCCGTGGGAGGCAGCGACGACGAAGACCAAGACGACGGCGATGTCGAGGCCGTGGAGGGCGGGGCGAGGGGCCACGCCGGAAAGTACCGCGTGCAGGTGCTCATGGACACCCCCGACGACGACGACGCCGACGCCGGCAGCGGCTCGGTACCAACCCCCCCCTCACCTCGCCTCCACCCTCCCCTCCTTGGGGTGTGCACCATGCCCATGGCTTGCACTCACCGTGTGTTTGACCTGCGTGTTTGCGTTGCTTCCTTTCCCTTTCTTTCCGTTCGTTGCGTGCCGCAGCAGGGCAAGCCGCAGCAGCCCAGGCCCCCGCAGAAGGAACGGGAGAAGCGGGCACGCATGTCCGCGGCCGAGAAGCGGCGCAAGAAGAAGCTCGAAAAGCGAGGCGAGGTACCGCCCTACCAGCCCCCTCCCCCGCCAGCCACGCACCACGCACCACGCACCACGCACCACGCACCACGCACCACGCACCACGCACCACGCACCACGGGAGGCCTTCGTGAGGAGAGCTCCCCTTTCTGGGTCGTCGTTCCCGGCGGCCCGGTTGGCGTTGCCCCCCCTCTACTCTAATCGCTTTTTTGCGCAACAGTCGGCGGCCGCAGCCCCGGCGGGCGAAGAGCCAAGCCCCGACCACCACGAGGAGGAGGACGACGAGGAGGACGACGAGGAGGAGGTCCAGCAGCAGCAGCAGCAGCCCAAGACCAAGGGTCCCACGCAGCCCAAGCTCCTGCGCGGCCAAAAGGGCAAGATGAAGAAGATGAAGAAGAAGTACGCCGAGCAAGACGAGGAGGAGCGAGACCTGCGCATGCGACTCCTCCAGGTGTGCACCCCTCCCCTTCGGCACTTGGCCGCCCGGAGGTCGTGTGGCCGAGCGCACTCCCTTGTCCTCCTCCTCCTCCTCCTTCCATTTTGCCCACGCTCACGTCGCCGGTGGCTACACACACCACACACACAACACGACACACACCACACACACACACACACACACACAACATGGATGGATGGATGGATGCAGTCGGAGGGCCTCAAGAAGAAAGAGGAGCAGCGGCTCAAGGACCTGGAGCTGCAGAAAAAGAGGAAGGGCAAGGGCAGGGGCCAGGCCGGACGAGGCGGACTCCCGCACCAGCAGCAGCAGCAGGTGCAGCAAGGTGCCGGACGAGGAGAGGCCGCACGTGCGGGCATGGGAAGAGGCCTCCCCCAGAAAGCCCCCGCCTCTCCCCCGGGGGTACGTGTGCCACCACCAACCGCCCACGCACCACCACTCCCGTCACGCGGCACATGGCACACGCGACACGCGACACGCAATGGCCGGCGGTGGCGATGGCCAGCACACACGCTCGCGAGTCGGCGCTGTCTATTTACCCCGCGTCCCCCCCCCATCCCTCTAATCTTCGCCACGTACGCGCCAATTAGGAGGGGAAGGAGGGCGAAGAGGAGGCCGCGCTGGCCCAGCCGGCGGACGAAGTTGCTCGCGTGGTGGTGGGTGGCGGCGTGGCGGCGGAGGCTGGCGACGGGGGCCGGGGCGAGGAGGAGGAAGCGCGGGACGAGGAGGGCGAGGGCGTTGCTGGGGTGGAGAGCACCGAGGAGGAGGAGCTCGAGGCCAAGCGAAAGCGGCGGCAGGAGAAGCGGCACGAGAAGAAGAAGGAGGCCGAAGAGGTCCGGCAGATCATGGAGGAGGAGAACATCAAGCCCCTCGACGAGTCCCTCCTCTCCGAAATCGACGCCCTCACCGGTACGCCCCGCGGTTTGTGTGGTCGGATGGGGGGACGGACGAACGGGCAGCGCGACCGACCGAGTGTGCGTGTGTGTGTCTGTGTGTTGTGTGCGTGTGTGTGTGCGTGCGTGCGTGCGTGCGTGCGTGCGTGCGTGCGTATGGGTATGGTAGGCGTGCCGGTGGCCGAAGACGCGCTGCTGTTCGCGGTGCCCGTGTGCGCGCCCTACTCGGTGGTGCAGAACTACAAGTACAAGATCAAGCTCGTGCCGGGCTCGGTCAAGCGGGGCAAGGTACTATTACTCTTATACTTATTATTATTATTATTATTTGTGCTGTGAGCCCGCCTTTCCCCCTTTGTTTGGGGGGGGGAGGGATTGGTGCTGGTGGTGGCTGAGAGACGCCCACCCGGTTCGCTCTCTCACACGTGCGGTGCGGTGCGGTGGACCCACCATGACAGGCAGCGAAGGAGGCCATGTCCTACTTCGTGTCGTTCCCGGAGGCCACGGACCGCGAGCGCGACTTGCTCAAGGCGGTGGAGGACTCGGAGATCGTGCTGCAGCTCATTGGCAACGTGCGCATCGCCACCAGCGGACTCAAGCAGAAGGCCAAGGGCGGCAAGAAGAAGGGCGGCAAGAAGAAATGATCATGAAATTGTTTTTGTCACCTATCATCTCCGGAGACAATTACAACAACAGTCGTTGTTTGCTGTTGCACGGGCGGCGGGTTGGAACTGGCGCCGCGTGTGTGGAGCTCCGCCGGTACAATGCCCGCGCAAATGGCGGGCGTGAGCCGGTTGTGGCTTTCTTCGCCGGCGAAGAAGAAGAGGCGGGAAGAAGAAGAAGCACCGGCACACCCCTTCCTTCTTCCTCTCGCCACCTTGGAGTAGATCGAAAATGGAGCCGCATCAAGAGGACTCCTTCGCCTCGCCCCTTCCCCTCCGGACCTTCGAGGGCGACGCCCCACAGCGAGACGGCAGCAGCGGCAGCAGCAGCAGCGAGGTGGAAGAGGAGGAGGTGAATGACGTAGATTCAACCACCACCACCACGAGTGGCGGGCCGTCACCCCCGATCAACAAGCGACAACAACGATGGGGACAAGAGGATGGAGACATCGAGATGGACAAGCTGAGTAGAACCTCCTCGCTCGACGTGGACCAGGATGAAGAGGATGCCGGCACTTTCATCCTGGAGCTCGACAAGGAGAGTGGTCTGGGGGACAGCGACCGCACCTACCGCACGCGAATAGAGCGGGGCTGGGCCTTCGCGCTCAGCAAGGTGGGACCTCTCGTGGGGGCGCTGGGCGCGCTCGCCGCCCTCGGCTTCATCTTTGCCGTGTGGGGCGGCATTCCGCTGGGCGACCCCAAGGAGGACCTCTTCGATGAGGACGGCTCCTGGCCCCTCGTCTTTATCACCAACCCCCTCGTACCCCCCTCCCCCGCCTTCCTCTCCCTCCCTCACCCCGTCGCACTGCACGGTGGCGGCGTTGCCCCTGCTGGTTCCGCACGAGAGGAACTCACGTTTCCTTCTTTCTCTTTCCGGGGCTGCCGTATAATTGGCAATTATAATAATAATAATTATTATTATCAATGATCAGGTGATGGGCGTGATAGGCTACCTCAACGTGGCCATGTTCCTCGGCTGTGCTGGCGTGACCCACCCCTTTCGCGGCTTCAGTACTCTATTCCCCCACCACCACCCCAATGCCAATGCCTGGGATCCCCTGGGGGCCTGCCTGCCTGCCTGCCTGCCTGCCTGCCTGCTGGTGATCTGACCCGTCTCGTCTCTCTCCGCCGCACGCGCACGCAACGTGGCTGTGCACAGCACCGGCGCTGTTGATCATCATCGTGGTGGAGATCGTGATCCTGTTCCCCATCGTGCAAAAGGTGGGGTTCTTCGAACTCTTCGGCGCCGTCAACATCTTCATCTGCTATGCCGCCACTTTCGCCGGTTCGCCCGCGTGGCCTCGGTGGTGCCTTGCACTCCGTAATCTCCGGCTGACGACACACTCTCCAACCATTGCGTGCGTGCGTGCGTGCAGGATTGCTCATCCACGAGTTTGTGAAGCGGTGCCTTGGCAAGCGGAACCGCACGCCCAACTACCTGCGCAAGATCGCCCAGTACGGCAAGGTCGTCTTCGCGCTCTTCGTCCATCTCCTCATCCTCACCGGTACGTACGCCCCGATCGGCGCACCACCCCTCTCCCTTTTTATTGGAGCCTCCTCGAGGACCCAACATGTTGTTCTCCTCGATTTCTTTCGTTATTTTTAATTATATAGTAATTAATTAATATAAATACGCAGGCTACGTGATCGGCTATCGATACGTATCGAGCACGGTGCAGCCCATCCTCTCCTTTTCCCTCGCCATCTCCGGTACGCACCCGACCCGCCACCGCCGATGCTGATTGGGACTGCCCCCCCCCCTCTGCTGACCTGTCCCTCTGCCGGTCTCCTCCTTCTCTCTCTCACGACACACACGACACACGACACAGTGTTCATCATGCGCAAGGTCCTCCTGGCGCTAACGGACATGTTCCCCATCGAAATGGCCATGCTCATCTCTTCGTTATGGGTGACGAACCTGACGGACATGGTACGGACCACGCCGCACGCGTCTCCCCCCTCATCCAACACACGGAGGTCGGCGCCACGACGCTTCAAATCGATTTCCAATTGCTAGCAACCGGATTATTGTGTGTATGTGTGTGTGTGTTGCCCCACGACCACGGCGATTCCATTTCTCATCATTTCGTGTGCTGTGCCTGGTGATTGGGGTGGCGGTGGCGGTGGTGGCTGCTCGTGCAGTGTCAAACGTTGGCGTTCCCTTCCGTGAAGGATCCCATCACCTACATCTACCTCTTCGCCATCAACCTCTTCACCAACCTCGCCAATTTGCTTTTCCTCACCCCCTGGTACGTGGCGTCGTGCGCAAAGCACGCGCACGGCACACCACGCCGCGCATGACCCCACTCACCGGTGCGCCGGGCCGGCCGTGTGCGTGTGCTTTCGTCATTCCTTCGCAGTTGGTTCCGCATCCGCGTGTGGGTCAAGAACAACCTGGGCCACATCTTCACGTGCTGCTTCTGTACCTGCAAGTGGCCCGAGGTACCTCTTCTCCTCCTTTTCTCTGTTCTCTATTCTTTGCTAGCTTCTCCATTGTTGCGTCATTGTGGTCGGTCGATCCGCTTGCGAGTTGGGCTCACCGGTGGTGGTGCGTGGTGCGTGGTGCGTGGTGGTTGCAGACCATGCCCCAGCGAAACGACGACCACATCGAAGACGATCGGGGCCACTCCCACAATCGGCCCGGGTACCTGCGACGGCAGGTGCGCTTCTATTTCTGGCGCATCTGGTCGCAGACGTGCTCCATGCTCTTCTACCTCGGCATCTCCTCCATCCTCCGCTACGGCCCCAACAGCGAGTACGTCCGACGCACACCCCCCCCTCCGCGCGCTGGCCTTGGGTTGGGCCGCTGCCGGTGGTGCGGGTTGCCTCGTAATGCCAATACTGTGTGTTGCGTGTTGTGTTTGTTTGCGCGCCGTTCCGCTGCAGGTACTACATGTTTTCCGAAGACCCCATTGTGAAGGGCAGCGACGAGAGGAGCTACAACGTGCTCTCGAGCACGGGCTACCGCAATTCGCTCCTCTACGCCTCGGCCAACCTCTTCCCCATCGCGTTGGCCGGCCTCTTCGGATACCTCCTGGTGAGGTGCGGTACCCCATTTGTCCCCCCCCCCACCTCCACACTTTCCTAGGCCCCCCGTGTGCCGTGTGCCGTGTGTGCACGCGCGTGTGTACTCTGCGCGTCCCATGCGTGTTTTTTTTTGTGTATTTATTAATGCATGCGCATGTGTATCCACCATTATAAAAGGTTCCTGTACAAGGAGACCTACGCCGTGCTGGTGAAGACCCATGGCATGATGCTGCTCCACAACACCACCTACATCGGGTTCGTGGTGGTACGTCCCTCCTCCCCCACGTTCAACCAACCGGGACGACCAAGAGCTGACCCACAGGCACGCGTGTGCACCTCCATCACGGCCCGCAGGCAATTTTGGCGCACAATGGATTGCTGGCGGTGATGATCGTCCAGTACCACCAGCGCGTGTGGTGGGCCTTCAACTGATGCAATGCAATGGCCATGCCACGCCGTGCAACGCTGCTGCTGGTGGTGGTGCCATCGACCCGCGGGGGCTGTTTCGCCGCCGCCGCCATCTCAACGGGTGCCCCCCCCCCATCGCCACTACCCGGCCGCGGGGATCCCCGCGTGGAGGGGAGTCGGTCCTCTGGAAGTGCAGCTGTACACAACATCACACCCCCCCCCTGCATCCAACAGAAGAAGAAGAAAAAAATAAAGAAAAAACAGAAAACAAAAAAACGTTTCCGCAGTTGTCCGCAATCATCGTTGCCCCCATCCATGATGAAGCCCTCCCTCCCCCTCTGGCATCCTGCCCGTGCGGGCGTCAGCGCTTTCGGTGCTTCATCCTTTGTGCAGGGTCCTGTGCGCGCTGCTGCCCTCGTATGCGTACGGGACGCGGAGCGAAAGCGAATCAAGAAGAAATTCATGCGCGGATGGCGTTCCTCTGTCAACAAGGTACCGCATGCCCATCATGGATTTATTATGCCCCACAGTTAATGGCCGATTTGATTCCCGAATTGTACAATGATTTTTCCGCTCCGCCGGAGACACCACCGGACGAGACATTTGCCTGGTGGGTGGTTGGTTGGTAACAACCTAACGGCGCGTTGGGGCAGGACCAAGTGGAGGCGCGCAGAACGGCGGTGGATCCCCGCACGCTGTCGGACCCGTCGACCGGGTGGGACCAGCGGAAGCGGCGGACGGGTCTGGTTGCCATCAAGGTGGGCATGACGTCCGAGTACAGCGAGTACATGGAGTGGCTGCCCCTCACCGTCCTCCAGGTGCGCGCCCGACTCCCCGACGTGCGCGCGCGGTGTAGGGCCTCATCCAGCGCGCCGTTGTGTCGTGTGTCGTGTGTGTCGTGTGTGTCGTGTGTGTGTACGCGGTACACATGTGCAGGTGGTCGACTGCCAGGTGGTGCAGGTGAAGAAGGAGCGGCACAACGAGTACGAGGAGGAGAAGGTGGGCCTGCAGGTGGGCGCTGTCGACGGCAAGTGGAGGCGGCTGGCCAAGGCCCAGCGCGGCCACTTCTTCCACGCGGGCGTCAACCCCAAGAAGGTCCTCATGGAGTTCAAGATCTCCCCCGACGCCGTCGTACCCGTCGGTACCCTGCCCCCTCGCCAAGCACCCCCCCCCTCCGATACCCCCCTCCGATACCCCCCCTATCTCCTCCTAATCGCGTCCCGCGTGGTTGTGGTTGTGGTTGGGTGCGTCGTGTGCCAGGAACGGAGCTGCGGGCGGAGCACTTTGTGCCCGGGCAGCTTCTCGACCTCACCGGCAAGACGTGCGCGCCCCCGTTCATGTGCAAATCGCGTGGCACCATCGACATTGATGCTTAACCGCGAAACGGGCGGCGGTGGCGGCGGTGCCCATGCAGGAAGGGCAAGGGGTTCCAGGGTGTGATGAAGCGGTGGGGCTTCTCGGGTGGTCCGGCCTCCCACGGTAACTCGGCCTCCCACAGAGAGCCCGGCTCCACCGGCCAGCACTCCGTACATCCACCCCCACCCCACCTGACAACACACCCGCCCACCCATCCGACGATGACGACGACAACGATGATCCATCCCATCACCACACCATTTACTTATCGTAAGCTTGGTGTGGTGTGTGTCGTGTGTTGATTCGATCAGATTCCGAGCAAGGTGTGGAAGGGCAAGAAGATGCCCGGTCGGATGGGCAACAAGTACCGCACCACCAAGAACCTCCTCGTGCGCCCCCCCCCCAACACCTCCACACCCTACGCCATTTACGCTGAGAACACTAACCTGTGAAATGACACACACACGACACACACGACACACACGACATACGTGTTTCATGCTACATCTATGCTTCCAACTATGTTCTGTGCTGTGTGTGAAACACCAGTTGTGGAAGATCGACACCAAGAACAACCTCCTCTACGTCAAGGGACCCGTGCCCGGCGCACCCGGCTCCTACATCAGGTCAGGCCCCTACCCTCCCCCCCCTCCTAATCACTCTCCGGGGGGTGCCGGGCCTCAGCACGTGCCACCAGCCCCTGCGTCGTGCACCCTTCCTCCCTCCCAACCTTGCCAACCTGGCCAACCTGGCCCACCAAAAATAGGGTGCGGGATGCCAAGAACAAGCTCCACTCCCTGGTCCCTCCCTACCCGACGTACATGCGCCAGGTACGTGCGCCCGATCGCCTCCCATCTCTCTCGCTCGCGCGCGCTCTCTCTCTCTCACCCTCACCCACTGGCTGGTGCGGAGAGCAGCCGGAGGAGGTGCTGCCGGAAGTGATCACCGCCAACTCGCCGGAGCCCATGTGGTACAAGAAGATGATGGCCCGCCAGGCGGCCTTTGCCGAAGATCTCAGCAAGAACACCGACGACAACCAAACGGCCGTCCAGGTGGTCCTCGCCCACAAGTACGCGCCAACGCACCACCCTCTCCCCCTCCCCTGCGCGTGCGGTGCCCACGGTGGGCTCACGCGCGTGTCTTCGCGGGCAAAATCGCTGCAGGGAGGCGTTCCCGTCGTACGACAAGTGGAAGAAGGGCCTGCTGCCGCCCGGCCCCAACCCCTCCAAGCACCACTCGTGCCTCTCGGTGGGCGAGCCGATGGAGTTCCCGTGGCTGGCCGACACGATCGCCGACTACGAGGACCCCTCCACCGCCGAGGAGGACCAGCTCCAGATCCACTACGCCGAATCCTAAGGCCACCACCACAAGGGTCGCAAGTCGGAGAGCGCAAACAAAATACCATTCGCGCAACCATTGGGACAAGACTTGACTCGCATACTGCCCTGCCCATGCCCATGCCCATGTGTGTGTGGGCCGCCGTCGTAGAGCTCTGGGACTGCCGCGGCACGGCTCAGTAGCACTTGCTGCAGGGCGTGGAAAGAGCAGGTAACATGAGGTGTGGCTCTTGGGCACCAAGGCGATGGGGGGGGGGCGTACGCGTGGACGATGCTGGGGCCTTGTTCGTCGTATTCCTCCTTGGTGATCCAGGCGTTCTGGAAGGTGGACAGCGACGCGAGGATCGACCCTCCGATCCACGAGCTGTACTTTCTCTCGGGTGGCGCGATCACCTTGATTTTGAGGCTGGAGGGTGCCAGGGTGGTGAGCTCCTTCGACAATCTCTCCGCCAGGCCCGGGAACTGCGTGGGGCCAACAAAACAAAAACTTGAGTTAGCGCAGGAAAGGGGCCGCGGCCTTGTGGTGCGGACCATGGTACTGCCGCCGGCGAGCACGACGTTGCCGTAGAGCTCAGCGCGCAGGGACTGGTCGCATTTGTGGATGGTGTTGTAGATCAGCTCGTGGACGCCGCCCGCCTCCATGCCGACCAATGACGGCTGGAAGAGCGCCTCCGGGGCACGGAAACGCTCGTCGCCGATGGTGATGACCTGGCCGTCGGGCAACTCGTACGACTTCTCGAGAGCCGACGACGCGGCGGCCGAGCTCATCTCCTGCTCGAAGTCGAGGGCGACGTAGCACAGCTTCTCCTTGATGTCGCGCACGATCTCGCGCTCGGCGGTGGTGGTGAACGAGTAGCCGCGCTCGGTCAGAATCTTCATGAGGTAGTCCGTGAGGTCGCGACCGGCCAGGTCGAGCCTGAGCACGCCGTGCTGCATCACGTGGCCCTCGTAGAGCGCGCACGCGTGGGTCACGCCGTCACCGCTGTCCAGCACCACGCCTACCCCGCCGCACACGCACGCACACACGACACGCGCACGCAGAGAAGAGCTCGCGTAAGTTTCCTTCCTCCCTGGAGGAAGCTCGCTATGTGTGTGTCGTGTCTTTGGTCATGTCGTGTGCCCTCGTCGGAGGGGGCGACAGGTACCAGTAGTGCGACCGGAGGCGTAGAGGGCGAGCACTGCAGACGGGACGATGTGGACGGCAGGCGCGCAGAAGGTCTCCATCATGATCTGCATGCCCATGCCCAAGCCACCACCCACACGCACACGCACGCGTGAGCATCGCGGCCCGTTACAAGTGCCCCCCCCCCGCGAACGCCAGGTGACCGTTGGTGGCTGGTGGTGGCTGGTGGCTGGGCTGGTGGTGCGTGGGTAGGTGTGTGGTGCAAGTCGGGTGC